GTGTGTGTGTGTATACATATATATATATATATGTATATGTATATGTATATATACAAGTATGCTCATTTTCTAGATGAAGGTATTGGAGAGTATACACATACATACTTACACACACATAAGAGTAACAGTTTCACTGAATCGCCATTAAGACTGTTTACTTTTCTTTTTAACCCTCACCCAAGGATATGTTTATTGAGTTTAGATTGGGGAAGGGGAGGAGAGAAATATCGATTCGTTGCCTCCTATATGCACCCTGACTGGGGATTAAACCCGCAACCTAGGTATGTGCCCTGACAGGGAATTAAACCCACGACCTTTTGGTGTATGAGATGATGCTCCAACCAACTGAGCCACTGGCCAGGGCAGGGCTATTTACTTTATCTATCTACTGGGCCTGCTGCATAGTGGGCTCTGCCAAGGGGGCTCTGCCAAGGGAGCAGACTGTGCTACAGTAGCTCCATTGGGTTTCTAATGGAATGTATAAGCCCCAGTCAAAAAATTTTATAAATTTGACTTATGGAATCATCATTTATTAAATTTCAGCTGAATATTACTGATTAAACTGCAGATACCATGTCCCTACCTCCATTCTCTCCTCCATGTTACAGAAAACTGGTTAGAAAATAACATACAATCCTCAGAATTGCAGCTTCCAGACAGGAAAAATTGGTACCAGTTAAGATGGGATAACAGCTTCAAAGATAATTCACTCATTGTATCTGAGCAAATAGATGGTGTGGTAGCCTGCCCATGTGAAGTGTGAGCAAGATGAAAAAAATGGCATGGCAACCCTAAAAACACACTATAGAAAAAGAAGAAAAAGGCATGCAGAAGACAACGAATCCAGCTCAGAAGAAAATACTGCACACAAAGCAAAAACAAACAAAAAAACCACATAGTTTACCATAGAAAAATGTTATTAAGGATATGAATTTAATTAAATAAGAGCTCAAAGATGAGATAACGAAACAAAATGAGGTGGAGATTCCAAATTAATGAAATAGAGAATCCAAACCACACTGTTACAAATCATAAGTTAGAAACATAGACAAATTAGAAAATCAAGTTCCAGCATGGAGAAAAGATTTGAGCTAATCAAAATAAAAGAGGTGGAGAGAGGGTTTGGAAGAACAAAGCAGTTCAAGACGAAATAATAGATATAGGGAACAGACAAAGGAAATAAACTTAAGATGAGTTAGTGCACCTAAAATGTAAAACAAAAAACTCAAAGAAAAGGTAGAAGACAGTTTTCTCAAATGAAGGAATTACTAAGTTTGTATATTAAGAGGCTCACTATATCCTATATAATAAAAGCCTAATATACTAAGTGTCTGATCATCTTGTTGGCCGTTCAACTAATCAAAGTGTAATATGCTAATGATATGCTAAGGCTGCTCAACCACTTGCTATGGTGCGCACTGACCACCGGGGGCAGACGCTCAACACAGGAGCTGCCCCCTGGTGGTCAGTGCACTCCTACAGGGGGAGCACTGCTCAGCCAGAAGCCGGGCTCATGGCTGGCAAGCACAGCGGCTCCCGCCTCCGTGGCAGCACTAAGGGTGTTCCATGGAGCGGGCCCAAGCTCTGTTAGTTGGACATCCCCTGGGGGCTCCCGGACTGCAAGAGGGCACAGGCTGAGGGACACCCCCCCCCCACCACCACCGAGTGCACTAATTTCGTGCACCGGGCCTCTAGTAAAGAAAATAATTGAATGAATTGGGGTTACAGAATAGAATATATTTATTCATTAATCCTATCTAATAATAGAGAAACATGGTAATTAGCCGTACCTCCGCTACCCTTCCCATTGGCTAATCAGGGCGATATGCAAATTAACTGCCAACCAAGATGGCAGCCGGCAGCCAGGCACTGAAGCGAACAGGAGGCTTGCTTGCTTCAGTGACGGAGGAAGCCAACGTTCCCTGCCTGCCGCTGCTGGCCTCTGAGCTTGCAGTTTAAGAAACATTGTTACAAATATAGAAGCTAAACAAAACCCCAGAAACCTGCTTTCAGCCAGCAGGACCGCAACATTGTTTCAATTATAGAACAAACGCAGATCCCTGCTTTCAGCCAGCCAGGATCTCAGAGCTGGAGTGAGCAGGACCACAACAGTGTTACAATTATAGAACCCAAACAAACCAGATACCTACTTTCAGCAGCCGAGGCCTCAAAGCTGGAGCCAAACCGGGCCCAGAATAAAAAAAAAAGAAAAAAAGGACAGGTTGGGACCTTCAGTTACCCGCCAGCCTGCAAACGGCCCTCAGACCCTCACCCAGACTGGCCAGGCACCCCAGTGGGGACCCCCACCCTGATCCAGGACACCCTTCAGGGCAAACCAGCTAGCCCCCACCCGTGCACCAGGCCTCTATCCTATATAGTAAAAGGGTAATATGCAAACTGACCCTAACAGAAGAAAGACTGGGAATGACTGGTCACTATGACACACACTGACCACCAGGGGGCAGACGCTCAATGCAGGAGCTG